GAGAGGAGAATGGATTATGCAATCAAAATGTTTTCTAAAGATCAGAAGCCAAACGAAAGAAGACAGTAAGTAGTTTAATTGTTTTATGACTAGAAGTCTGGAGATAAGGTGAATAGATTTTGTTAAGAAACTGTCTCTTCTCATAAATATTTCCCAATTCCATCTGATTCCATTGATGTGTCTGTTCATTACAATAGTTGAATTTCATTGTATTTTTTTAGAATGAAATTCGCCTAAACTATTTGCTAAGAACATGTTGTTTCATCGTAATCAGTCAAAACGGATAAGAAAAATATATATAAATTAAACAGACTTACTTACTCATGTAACTTCCAATCGAGCATAGGTCGCCAACCAGTTTTCTCCAGCCTATTCTATCCTGAGCTGACATTTCCAGTTCTGTCCGATTTTCATTTATACTTCTGATGTCTGTTTCTGTTTCTCGGAGTATTATGTTCTATGGCCTTCCACTTTTCCTTTGACTTTGAGGGTCCAAGTGAAGGCTTACCTTGTTACTCAATTGTGTGCTTTCCGCAGTGTGTGAAGGTTTTTATGTCCTCCAAGACATCTCCATCAAGAGTGATTTGGTTGGCGCATGTTGTGTTGTACGTGAGACTTTTGTTTTTCCTCTTGTGTATACTAAGATCTGCTGCTGCTTCTGAGGCTGCTACCACACTTGTTGTTTTCTCTGGCATTTGTTGTTGTTGCGTGTGCGAATGAAGAGCCAGAACAACTACGAAGTCCAGATCGTCCAGTTGCGTCCAAGCTGTTGACGTCTTGATAATAATAAGATAATAATTACAGAATTCATACGAGTTTTTACAAACATGATTATCTCCTTTCTCTTATCTTCTGATTGACAATAGACATTGCAATCTCACAATACTACTTTGTGACTAATATTCACCACATATAATCATCTGTTCACATTGTCAACGGTTCAAATAAATTAGTATCAAAATGTACTGTGTAATGGTGAGTATCAGTTAACCATTAGACGAATAGTTTTAAATGTTTTTTTTATCATTGGAAATGAAAACCATTGATGTGTGCTTTGTGTTGCTGTTGTTGTGCAACAGTTCCCTTAATTTTTTGTTTAAATTGATTAAAAAATTTCTGCAGTTGACATTTCAAAAAACATGTCATGGAAATACCAGAACAAGAATGCATTACATTGTACATTGTACAAAATTACATTGATCTCCACAGATGTTTATACATACATATTGTTTTTTGTTAATTCAAAATACCTGATCATACTACACACATTTTGAAATTGCAAAGGAGCCGTTTTTTTGAGATAGTACAAAACAATGCATTACGTAATGTCGGATACGAATTAATGAACCAGACTACGTAAATTGGCTAATGAAATATTAACTTTTGTGAAGATGATCATAGATTAGTGAATAAAATTTGTGGGGATTGTATTATTTTTCAAGGTTAACTTAACTTGACTAGCATGTGGGAAACTTAAAAGCACTGGATGGATGGTCCTACCTAATAAGGAATTCGTAGACAGTGTGTAACAAATTCCATCCATAACAACGTACTATGAAAGAGAACAAACCAGATTCCAGTGGAGGAGGAAATCAGGAAGAAGCATTGGAAGTGGATAGGATACACAATACGAAAAGCACTGAACTGCGTCACAAGACAAGCCCTCACATGGAACGCTCAAGGTAAAAGGAAAAGAGGAAGAACAAGGAACACATTACGCCGGTAAATAGAGAAAGATATGAGAGGAATGAACAAACATTGGACAGAACTGGAAAGAGAAGCTCAGGACAGAGTTGATTGGAGAAAACTGGTGGGCGGCCTATGCTCCATTGGGGGTAACAGGCGTAAGTAGGTAAGTAAGTAAGTAATTGTAACAAACTAACTTGCTATAAAAAAGCGAAATGTGTTGAAATGTTTCACATTAGTTTTTAATAACTGATGCTAACCAAAGAAGCTCAGAAAAGTATTGGCAGGATGAAAAATTTCATGGACACTGGGGTCATCAAATCATACTTCAAAAAAGAGGACAATACAATGAACGCCGTCCAATGCTATGCATCTACCTACGGCTACAATGAAGAGTTTAAAAATCAGTTTTACAAAAGGCTGCAGTCAATCTTTGAGCGATGCTCAACTAAGGACTTCACCATTCTGATGAGAGACCTAAATAGCAGGATTGGATATGCAGATATCATTAAACGACATGTGAGAGCTTTAGGAACCTATATGCCTTCAACAAAATGGTCATGAGCATGGCTCCATATTCCCACATAAGCTCATACTGAAAGCTACATAAGTTTCATCAGGAGAATAAAAATTGATTACACCTGCATTAGTTCAACATACTTATATACATGTATACAGTAGTTTAGTTGCTCAATAATTATGTATTAATAATATATAATATACATCATAATAATAATAATTCAAATGTCATTTCTGGGACTTATCAATACTTCGATCTTCATTCTAGCGTATGACAATTTAATTTATCTGTTTTCTCTCTCAATTTTATTATCATCTAAAAGCCTGTATGTATTTTTGATTATATGATTGGTAATGATAAAGTCTGATATTCTAATTTCGATCGATTCACATAACATAGTAGTCTCAGTGATATACTTCACTACATAAATAGTTGTAAGTAGCTGTTAAGAAACTGTTATGCTCATCAACTGATATGATTGCGACTAGTACGAGTTCAACTTAGTCGGTGACACGGTAGACTACTCGTATCCGAGAGTCCCAAGGCACCACTAAGAAGTCTTGACAAGATGTAGATAGTGTATTATACAAGCACCCAGAAAATCGAGGTCCATTACGCACACAAATCAAGTTTAATAATACATCATAGAGACGTCCTTGTGAGAGACACAATATAGCGTGATAGAATAATCCATCAACCAATCACAGCCAAGAATTTCCAGGTCAACTAATCAGCCCCGGCATGAAACCACAAAATCCAAATTTAGGACTTTAACCAAGTGAGTTCTGCGGTTCTAACTTCCCCAACAGAAACCATGAAATATAATAAATTTTATATAATATTTTCTCAATGTTTGTTCTGAATTAATTTAAACTTTTATGAAGAACCAATTACATGGAACTTCAAACAAGTAAATTATATTTTCAATGAATAGTGCGTTCTCCTTTGATCGAGTTCAGCCAGCGACTGATCAATCCTACAAATCTGAACACTAAATTCATTTTTACCGATCATTAATGTTTAGAACTGTAATGGATCAGTATGTTTGGCATAAGTGCAGCCTGTGAGGTCTGTTTCAGTAAGTGATATATGAATCATCAGTAAAGATGGATGGTGACCAGCAGTGGAAACTACGAAGTACATTTCATCCGCCATTTAGTACTCAGTTTCTGCTGGAACTACTTACATCCTAAAATTGATCTTCACTAAGAAACTCGAACTAAATATTGTTCTTACACATTTGAAATCATCAATCAATCATTGTAAGACCACCATTATAAGCCTGGAAGCACTGGACGGCCGTTTCGTCCTGGTATGGGACTCATCAACAGTGCGCATCCACGACTCCTACTCCTCGCAGGATTCGAACCTGGGACCTTTGGCATTGTAGGCGAACGCCTTACCATTGGATCACTGGTCCGGCATCCAACGGTGTTAATGTCTAACTCTGATCGATCTACGGATTTGGCTCGACCCCAACCATTTGTCTTTGGTAGTTACTGCCTACATATGACAGTGCTGAACTCCATTGGTCACGTCTTCTCATTAAAACTCCGAGAAATTCCTCACGAAGCTAGTCACTAGTGAGCACTGTTACGATATTTTGGGGCCCAGTTTTGGAGGATTTTACACATTTAAAATCATCAATCAATCATTGTTAGACCACCATTAGAAACCTGGAAGCACTGAAAGACGTCCGTTTCGTCCTGGTATAGGACTCATCAGCAGTGAGCATTGTTCGTTTGAAACATCATCACCTTTGGTACTTAACTAACAAATCCAGTTAGCCACTGGTTTGTTCGCTAGTTAGAAGAGTTTAATTTATTTATATTGATTGTTTAGGAATCTTCGCAATTCAATAAGTCTACGTCAGTAAATTTGAATTTTTGTTCAATCATCATTACAATTATTAATTCACATGGTTCAATTAAATAAATTGAACAATTTTTAATTACAGCCATTTAATTTTTTATTTCCAATAAATTTCTGTTTCGATTATTTTGGCCTGGAAAAATAAATTCTAACTCAAAGTATATAGATATATAGATATATGTAGATAAAATTTAATAAACGCTTTTTTTTCAAATATTCTGTCTAGCTCTTATTTGTAATACGAGCCAATTTTGTTGTTGGTGTTGTTTTTTTCTGCTGTAACATATTCAATGTTCAATTTCTTTTTTATCCGTCATGTAAATGTAACCAGTACTAGTTTTTTTTTTGGTTAGCCAATTTCAAAATACATTCACATTTTGAAAGTTTAGAAAGCAGTCAGTGCAAGCATTTTTCAAAATATCCAATGAAAAATGTCGCAATGATTAATTAGGAACTGTGTGTGTATGTGTGCCGGTCAATGTATTCTCTACATATATATGTAAAAATTGTAACGAGTTAATTCATCTAGCGTATTTTATATATATGTTTAAATAATTACAATAAAGATAGACAGACAAGTGATATAAAACACATGAATGTCCATTTGTTTTTAATGGTCCCTTTATGCAATGTATGGGTGTTAGATAGGTAGGTAGGTAGGTACATATCGGTCTACTGTCGTCACAGTTAGGATATATATATATATATATATTTGTATGACAGAATTGATAAAAATAGTAACTAACTAGGATGAAAAGTCAACGTTGAGGCTTGTTTTACACGATGACATCGTGATGACAGTGACGATTATGCCGCTTGCGCTGTTGTTGTTACTGAAAATGAAGGTGATGTGAGGTCAATGATACTGATCATTAGTAAGTAGTATGTAGTCTCAGTTGACATTTGAAATAATGATATCTAAATTCCTATGGTCAAAGTCAAGTCAATGCGTAATTCATCCTGTTCACTTTGAATTGATGACATCTCTGATGTACGCTATTGTATGCACATGTACAGTACTTGGCTAGGATGACGCGCGGTACAGACACACACAATTAAAAAAACACAGACACATTTGAACACGCACACACACACACACACGGAAAGATAGATAGACATAAGCACCGATAGTAGTACATCCGTTGATATATTATTAGTTGATTTATTCACGGAAACTATAAAACACGCTGATTATTATCAAAAAGGGAAAATGTAATTATTTCTTTCTGATTATCATTTTTTATTATCAGTATTTTAAAAATTACATTTACTGCCAGTCAATCTATGCTGTATACGTAAACAGATACACTTACACTCACACACACACTGACAAAGATACACAGAGTCAGCAGTTACATTCTCTCTCTGTATTGAATTATTTTACAAATCGAAAATCAAATTACATCTTTCTCAAATTGTGCGCTAACATTAAATGTACTGACCAACTAGACTGGATTAATAATGTCACAAAACTCAGAATACTACTACTACTACTATACTACTAATAGTAATAATGATAACTGATAAAGTTACAATGAGACGTTTATTTCACGTCAAAATCAAATTTATGCATTTTTCTGGAATTAAATAAAGATCATTACTATCATTATCATCAGGTATGTTAATTGATCTGGAACGTTATTTACACCTAAATAATCTTTATTATTTTATCTACGAGCTGATGATGATGATGATTTTCTTATCAAATTTATGGATTTTAAAAATGGTACAAACAAATGATGTGATGACCATGGTTACCATGACTACAGTTCATAATAATAATAATAATAATAACAAGAATAATTTATCTATTGAAAAGTTGTTCAATAATCAAACCCCGGTGGATTTGATTAATCGCTCACCACGTTACACACACACGTCATCATCATCAGCGTCAACAGTATTATTCACAGTTCAAGGTCAAGAGTTGGCGCAACTCAGTCAGAATTGTATAGTCTATGATGAAACACCAGCGGAACATCAGTTAATTGATGAAACCAATGGGAATGCCTGTCAATTATTACTATTATCACCACCTTTGTCAAGGACCCGTGGGATGTCATTGAACACTGACGAGAAATTATTCATTCATGTAAAATTGATTAAAACTGCAAATTTTATGGCAGATTATTTTAATATTAATGCAAATAATTATACATTATTAACAAGTCAACATATTGATCGTGAAGAATTATGCAATCAAGCATTGCTTCGAACTGATACAACATCTTTATCTGATTCTCTAAGAATATGTTGTATGAATGGTCGTAAAGAATGTATTTTCCCACTGAATATACTTGTACAAACAAGAATTGGCAAAGATGATGTGATTGCTATGCATACTACTAATAATGTTAATAGTAATACTAGTAGTAGTAGAAATATTAACAGCACTACTAGTAGTACTACTGCTTCTACCGGGTCTGCTGATATCAGTAGTAGCAGTAGTAGTAGTAGTACTAGCAGTTCACGATCGAAATTTTTTACTATACAAATCAAACTCATTGATATTAATGATAATCCACCGAAATTTCCAAATACTCAGCATACAATACATGTTTCCGAAGGAATACAAATTGGATCTAGGCTACCTTTACCATTAGCAAAAGATTTGGATTGTACAGAGTATAATATTATCCGGTAAGTATGATGCTAGTAAATATTTATGCATATGTTGCGTTAATAAGATATTTCACTCATTCATGCAACTTACTTACTTACTTACTTACTTACTTACTTACTTACGCCTGTTACCGTCAACGGAGCATAGACCTCCGACTAGTATTCTCCAACCTACTCTGTTTTCGGGCCTCCTTTTCAAATGAATCAGTTACTATTATTACCATTATTATTATTATTATTATTATTATTATTATTATTGATGAACCTTGATGTGTATAGACATGATCGCGTTATGCATTGAAAATTAGATCTTTAATGAACATGGCACCAGGTTATGAATTCATTAACAATTAAAATTGAACTATGTTCATAGATGTAGACTGTCTGGTAGGGACCTCAGTCAGTCAATTGGAACGCAGAACTACGTAAGTATGTACATAAGTTCATGTTGCCATACCACATTAACACAAAGACGCAGATGTCAAATCAAATTCAATCGTGATAGAGGTATGAGAGGTATTAATGGTAATAAAGAAGACTAAGGTTTGAAGATATAATTCAAGAAGTACAATTCAGTAAGATAAGGTTAGAGAGACAAAGGTAGAGGTGCTAACGAATCCAGAAGATTAGGATTTGAGAGAGGTCAAATAATGGATGCACTTGCGCCATTGAAAACGTTTTTGAGCCATGACGTTCAAAGTCTCTAACCATTGGTGACTTTCGTTTCGCGGATCCCAACCAGGTAGTCTACATCTACCAACATGACTCAATCCACTTGTCAGTGACTTCATGGATTTGTGCCATGTTTTGGTCTGGCCGCCCCTAACTTTCTTCCAACCTACTCCTACACCACAAAACAAAGCTCGTCGAGGCAGTCGGTGGTTAGGCATACGTAACACATATCCCAACCACCTCAACTGATGAAGTTTCACCACTTCATCTATTGATCTGCCATCCTTACCTGGTAGGGACCTCTGTGCTAATGCGATGATATGGCAATTTGAACTGATGTATGTACGTTTTTGATTGGTCCACAGATTGATTGTCTACTAGGGGGATTTCATGAGATAATTGTAATGGCTGAAAATTGTTTGCAATAGTGTAGAAGCATTTCTTTTGTTATCTAAACCCTCGAAATTTTAATTTTCTAAATTCATCACAGTGAGTGTTTTTATTCTATTGATTTTTATATTTTACGTAAATCTCATATCTTTGATCTTTGAATGTTTCTATTACTGGTCTGGGATTTGACTTGAAACATTTTTTATCCCTTTTCAATAATGCGGTATAATAACTTAAAATCATGTGTGTTCATAAGTTGCAACTGAATTGTTAACTGACTGATTGACTGACTGAGTGAATGATTACCGAGTGTACTATATTGCATGTCTGAATAATAAAACCAACACAGTTGTGTATTTTTAGATGGTGGAGAAAATCTGTAGCTCAGGTGGATAATTCTGCTGGAGTTTCGTTTTCTGCTCTGAATGTTGTTTTATGGTTGTGGAGCTTTCAGTGTTTTATTTCTGAACACAACATCATCAGCACAGAATAAGCTATGGGTAATACGTGGAGAATACTTCGAATGCTTCAATTCTTTTTGTATGTTGCGCTGATAATGTTGTTCAGAAGAACAATGAAAGCTTAACGATCAAAACATCTAGCTCAGAGAACGAAACTCCTCCACAAACATTTTTTGATTAGCCTTTATTTGACTCTCTTTAATATTCATCAATGAAATGCAATTTGAGGAATGTATGTGAAAGGTATAATGTTTCAGTATCAATGAGATGAGTATGAGACTGTAAACTAAGTTCTTGACACGAAATCATTGATGCTGACAGCGTTTTAATATGAAAATTGACGTCAGTTTGTGATTAAAACACACTAACTCATATAACTAACCCTTATTAATTACTCCGATTCCCAATTTCTAATATGTCACAAACGAATTGACAACCTTCTTTAAGATCCTAGCAAGTAGGCAGCTGTTCTCAAGGTCATTTTTATGATAGTACTTGAAGGTCAGTGTTAAATTATAATCTCTCTAGCATTTTTAAAAAATTGAATTTGCGTACATTATGAGTTAGATTATTTAACCGTATGACTTAGAGTGATTTCAATGTATCCTCTCATCAAACGGAATTATTTGTCTATAAAAACTCTTTTTCGGACAGTAGTAAGTCACGATGAAATCGTGAATTATTATTACGATCTCAATCGGATTTTATTAGTTAGTTAACATTGATACCAAGGAATTATAACCATGCAATATGGTGTGTTCATTGATTTAAACATATAATTATTGGTACAACGGAACAGTTGAATATTTATGTGTCACCTAAATTTGTGAATGGGTTCAGATAATACCCAAGCGCGCAAATCGATTCAGATGATTTTGTTAGTGGGACACTAACTACTCTTGAATAACTCTACGTGAACCACGTGGAGTCAAAAGTAAAACCTTTCAGTTATCGATGCTGAAGTAACGTTTATTAAAAATTCTGTTTATTTTTTAAAATGAATTCTATTAAGATAAACATTAGTAGAGCAATTATAACTAAAAGGAAATTGTTTTTAATTGAATGTTGATCCACTGTGTGCTGAATATTAATCATGACTAAAACAATTAAGGAATCAGCCGATTTTCAATCGTTCTCATTGAGATGGTGGAGAAAATTTGTAGCTCAGGTGGATGATTGTAGTAGTGTTTCGTTCTCTGAGCTGGATGTTTTGGTTGTGGAGCTTTCATTGTTCTTCTGAACAACATCATCAGCACAAACTTCAGATAGAAGTGAAGCATTCGAATTTCTCCACGTTTGACCTGTAGCTTGTTCTGCTAACCTCGATCTTGATCAGTTGCTGCTGACCTTTGACCTGTCGTTGTTTGCAACTTTGTTTTGATGGTATCCCCCTTTTGAACTGTTTCTTGATCCAGTGTCACCTATGATTTTCCTGATTGGTTGATGAATTCGGTCATGTCCATGTGTTTGTTGATTGCTGGTTGACCTGAGTGCCAAGCTTCTAATAATTCTCTAGTGTTCTTTGTCCTCCCCCTACCCAGTATTTCCACAGTGTTCCAATCAAATGTGTGTCCATAATTGTCAGTGTGTATTGATATAAGTGAAGCGTTGTCGTGGCGTTTGACTGCTAATTAATGTTCACGTTAACGGAGCTGAAGAGGTCGTCCACTTTGTCCTATGTAGTGTTTTTCACAGTTTGAGCAATTTATTTTGTTGATGATATTTGGTTTTTCTTTCTTTGTTATTTTGTCCTTTGGTCTACATAGGATTGTCTGAAGTGATTCTTTTGGTTTGTGTGCCACACCTATTCCAAATGGTTTCAGTAGTCTTGCCGTATGCTCCGATATGTCTTTGATGTATTGCAGGATGATGCGTTTATTTGTTCCTGTGCTTGATTTCGCTTCTAATGATGGTTTTGGTTGATGTTTTTTGATGAAGTTGCGTGGATAGCCATTGTTTTCGAAGATAGTAATCATTAGGTGTTTTTCCTCGGTTTTTGAATGCTTCATATGTTCTGGAGTGTGTCTTCACTCTCTTAAACAAAGTTTGTCTCAGTTGTGGGTTCTTGGGTTGTTGCTGTCGTAGTTGAGAATTACGTCGGTGTGGGTTGGCTTCCGAAATACTTGAGTTTCTAGTTTTCCTGTGTTAGTTCTGGTGATTAGTGCATACCTGAATGATAGGCTGTTGTTTGATTCCTTTCCCATGGTGAATTTTATGTCATCAAAGATGTTGTTGATTCAATTGTAGATGTTCTCCAGCTCATTCTTTTTGATAATGACGAATGTATCGTCTACACAGCGAACCCATATTTTTTGCTTGATCACTGGCAAAATTGACGCTTTTTCTCATTGTAGGAAAATTCCGTCTGAATAATATAAGGACTAACCCTATATCTATCTATCTATCTATCCACACATCTATCTATCTATCTATCTATCTATCTATCTATCTATCTATCTATCTATCTATCTATCTATGTATCTATCTATCTATCTATCTATCTATCTATCTATCTATCTATCTATCTATCTATCTATCTATCTATCTATCTATCTATCTATCTATCTATCTATCTATCTATCTATCTATCTATCTATCTATCTATCTATCTATCTATCTATCTATCTATCTATCTATCTATCTATCTATCTATCTACCTACCTACCTACCTACCTACCTACCTACCTACCTACCTACCTACCTACCTACCTACCTACCTACCTACCTACCTACCTACCTACTCATATATCTTTCAATCTCTCTATCTACCTATACATCAATATATACATTTATTTATTCGTTCATTTCACTTATTTATAATTTATTATTGAATTATTTCACTGATAATTCGATTGATTTCGATGAAAAAATAACTCCATCGAATTAATGTTGATCCGTTTTTGGATGAACCATTAATTTACTCAATCTTTAACCCATTAGACAGACGACTCATTGATGAAAATAAAAATATGACAAAAATATATTATTGATAAATAATCTTTTTTTTCTTAACGAATCTCATTCAATGTACAATCAATCTATTCACACACAAAAAAAAATAATGAATGAATGAAGGTCATGAAAATTATTGAACATTGATTCATTTCCGCCTTTTTTTAAGTATTATGATTATGTCAATGTGAACAATGGTTTAGAGGATTTGTTCAGTTTTTTTCTATTCTGATTATTCATGAATAACCATTGAGGTTAAATGGGTTTTTAAGTAGGTAGGTATTAAGTGAATAGGAAACGAGTTCTAGGTAAGGATGGCAAATCAATAGATAATACATTGACAGTTCATCAGTTGACGTGGTCTGAACATATGTTACGTATGCTCAACCACCGATTGCCGTGACAATTTATGTTTTATGGTGTATGAGATGGTTGAGACATGTGTTGCGTGTGCCCTACCACCGACTGCCCCAAAAGAGTGATGTTTATTGATGTTGGGATTAGGTTAGAAGGAAGCTAGAGGCGTCCAGACCAAAACATGTT